AAGATTTTGTCCCAAACGAGAATATTTAATAGAGCAAATATCTAATCGGCGGACAAAGTCCGCAGACCAAAATACGACAGTTTTGGTACGTGACAGGCCAAGTCTGCAGGCCAAATCTTCTGGTTTATGGGAGGCTAATGCCTTATAATTCCAATGTGATAAATACAGATTATTCACGCAATAGACATGATCCTTTTTCTGAAAACTATTCGTTTTATTGTTCTATTTAATTCTCACCGGTAAAAAGGACGGCAATCGCATCGTGGCTTAAATAATAGACAGAAAAGAATATAAAGAGACAAACAATCGACCCAATTTAGGAACAAGTTTAGTCCTGTTACAAACGGACCGATACGAAAGCATTCGAATTATCCTCAGCCGGCTTAAAGTATTCGAAACGAATTCTATTAAAACGAGCAGAGGAGAAGGGCGGAGCGGCGAGAAGAAAGAGGCAAAAAACAAACTTATTGAACTTTCCTGAAGCTATTCGGAGCCGCCATAAAATTATATGGGTCGTTATTTCTTGTTTAAGTAAATTATCCAGTCCGTTCTTTCCAGTTTGATTTATTTCGATAAAATTTAAAGTTTCGAAGCGGCATCAGGCACTTGTTAAGGTTCTTTTGTTACGTAACGGATTTTTATGACGCAAGTAAAACAATAACTTTATCGACGGTTCAATTTGCTTTGGAATATCTGAAGTGGAAGGCATTATACAGGGTGGCAGGGTGCGTCTTAAATATATGCAAATGTTTTCAGGATTGGCAAGTGATTTTATTACAAAAATATAAAAAAGACTTTTGTTGTCTTAAAATTTGACAACCACTGGATTTTTTCTCTTCTTTCGTTTCTGCAAATTTAATCTATAGTAACTAGATTTCAGAGATAGATTATTAGATATTACAGATATATTATATTTCTTAACTGAAATTTTAAAAAATTAGTAAAGGAAAATTGCAGAAAATGATTGTTTAATATATAAATTTCTCAATTTATGCCAAAAGTATTTCTAAATAACATATGATAAAATATAATATCTACAAAAAACAGGACAATATAATATAACTGTAACTTTGATCATATTATCTTTTTGGTTCAGACAGTATACAGGATGTCCCAATATTCCGTCGACATAAAAATCAGTGAAAATCAAGAAAAAGAACCGGAAGGGTAAAAACCACCCTTCATAATATGTATGGTGATATATCCAAATGATATGGTATATTGCTTTCGGTAATAATTTTATTTGTAAGCAGATATATTGAATTCATTACTCTAGCTTGTATTTTTGAGTTTCTGTAACCCCAATTATCGCTATAAATCTTTTTTTCTTACACATTGCCTCATTATTCGTCAACTTTTAGATGCAATTGTCCCAGTTATCGTCATTATCGTGTCCGAGTAATTGTCATATTTAAATGAAATATCGAATTTATAGTAAACATGAAATTAATATTTACTTAATATGAAAAATTGTTATTTTCTAGACTTTTTATCTCAAGTACATTTTTCATGCACCCAGCTCTTTCATTTCATGGATCATGTCCTCTTGAAAATATTCTTGAAAGTTTTTTTTCTGGTTGTTAGTTCTTTGTAGTTGTTTGTATTATCGAAATTTTATGTTGCTTTGCAGTTTTGTTTTAAGTTAAATATGTGTTAGTTTTTCTTCTCAATTTCCTTTTTCGAAGGTTTCAAGAATTATTGAATTTCCGGAAAGATATAATATGAGGCATGAAATTTATCTATTATCCATGTATTATCAATTTACATATTTCCCCTGGTAGGCGGTAAAACGGATTGAGGTCCCATTTTCTTAATGGATAAATCATTATTAACACCTTCAATCGTTTTAAGCGTGTTATCTGCGGAATATTTAAGTCTTCTTAACATATTATCTGATAATACCAGAAATCTTCATGTCTCCCCAATGTCCCGGTATTCGTCATCTCTAATTAACGTATATTTTCTTTAAAATCTCGAAGCACATTTTTATGACGGAGACTGGTACGCATATTACAATTACAATCAACATACTTTTTTACTACAACCGACTGCTTAAAATAACACCACCAAAGATAAGGTCTAGACATAAACATGCTAATAAACCTAAATAATATATACGCAATTATAATTTTTACTTCCATGCACCAGTTACTGTCATATGTGCCGATTATTAGGACATCACCACTTTTATTAGACATAGTAATCGTAATTTTTACATTACATTTTTATTAGACATAGTAATAAACTAAAAGTATTCTTTAAATCTTGTATAATCGCCTAAAGAGAGCAAATTTAATATAAATATAGGTTATTTATAATAATAATAATAATAGCTCCCGTATACAGCGTTTAACGCCTTGGGAGTAGGTACAGCTTGCCATGCTAGAGCCTTTTGGTATACAAGGCCTATTAATTGTAAATATATATACGTTCGGTATACAATACTTTATTTATTATAAAACATGCATAATTAAACTTAATTTTGTACAATTGTAATCTATCTTAAAAGTATAGATGTCTTAAAATACACATTAAAGAACTTGCACAAAACCAACATCGTCCCAATCACGTACCAAAAATTAATGCGAAACGATTTATGACAGCTATTATAAAATGCACATGTTGTGAAATCGATCAAATAATATAAAATCTGTGAAATACATTTTAATTTATTTTTTTGCTATATAAAAATTTCTTAATATTTGACATAAACTGTGATGTGCTATTGAAAGTGACGAACACTGGTACAGTGACGATTACTGGCACACTTACCTTAGTTATTACATTAATATGATCCCACCAAGGAAGAACCAACCAATAATAACCATCTACCGTAACATATTATAGGATACGATACCGTGGCGCTATACACTAGGTTTTATTAAACTTTTCAGGTCTTGTCAACAAAACTAAAAGTATACCTATATTTTGTAACTTAAACTGCATTCAACTTTGCCTCCGGGACGCCTGATCTACTCATTAACCAACTTTTCGCAATTATTTTAATGAGTTATCCTTGGAGGTTAAATTAAGACTATATGGCAAATGAGGTAACGTGTCTTCGAAATAATTAAGTTAGCGTAGTTTATGTCAAAGTGACGGTGTGCGTTCGTGCGTTATCATCAGCGAAGTTTGACGCCCCCAACTTAATGATTGAGATGCAAACTAAACTTCGTCCGTAGAACAGATTGCAGCAAGAAGTAAATTAATTATAAGTTTGGTGTGTTTTTCTGGCCTTAAAACTTGAGACAACAAATTTTCTTAATCGAAAAACAAAATTAAAATGTAACGACAATCTAACGAACTTTTACAATTAATGCTTCTAAGAATGATTTTTAATTACGGATACAGTTAGGAATGATGTTAGTTGTAGGAAACGGAGTTTCTAAAAGTGTACTTAATTTAAAGAAAGTAATGGATTGACAATTACCGTTTTATTTACGAGTTTTCTCGTTTACTTTTACTTTAGTGAAGTTTAGAGTAAATGTTTTTTGCAACTAACTGAACACTCCAAACTCCAAACATTATTTAGAGTTGTATTTTTTATAATAGTCGAATTGCTATTAATAAAGAATTACGTTTAATTAATATGGTTTTAAAAACAATTTTGTTAGAATCCCGATCCCGAAAATTGGATGATAGCATTTAATTTAGTTGCAATGGATCGATGCATTTAAATCAATTATTGTGCTCTTAAAGAGGTAATATGATTTAATATGATTTATTATAGTAGTATAGGAAAGAAGAAAAATACTTTTTTAAAAGTCAATATTAAACGATATTACAGATTCTTTTATATATGACAAGATATACCGTATGATCGAAAGAAAACAGCGTGGCAGAAACAGATGGCTGGGAAATGAAAATCGATGATAATTTTGGCTAGAACTTGTCAAAAATAACATTAATTACAGAAAGATTAAAAAAGATAGAACCGTCTCGAGACAGACAAGTCTATTTCGAAAAAAATATGTTTTTCTCGAATTTTAAACTAGGGTAATTCCGGGAGAGACGACCCTCTGGGTTAGATGGCCCATTGAGATATTTTCGGCATCTTGACTCTCCAATCGATGTAAACGTAGACAGTGTGACTAAACGCATGGTGTAGTTCGTGCTTATAGTTTGGTGTATTTTCATTAAAATACGGGTAAGTTCTAAGCTTTTTTATTATTCCAAAGGTTAAAAAATTTTCTATGCTTTAAAATAAGTTGAAATTTTCGAGTTCTGACTTGTTTCCTTTTTAGTTATTTACATAAATTTAATTCATTAGTATGTTGAGGTTATGTTTATATAGGCATGTAGCTGCGTTTACATCAGCTTAGAAAATTATCAGGTGGGCCATCTCTCCCGCACTATTGGGATAGATTGCCCAGTAATGTTGTGGTATAGATGGCTCGTGAGCCATCTCTCCCATACTGCCCTGCTAAGACTAGTTGTCCCATTTGTAAAAATATACTTTTTTAGGTTAGGTCAGGTTTGCAGGACAGTATATGAGAAAAATAATAATTATTTACTTATTTATTTATAGAGTCATGCCGACCGAGTATCGACGGAAAAGAAACGTAGAAAGGCATCAATGGTCAGAAGAAGACTTACGAAGGGCAGCTGAAGCAGTCAGAACAGGCCAAATGGGAGTACGGGAAGCTTGCCGTAATTTTAAAATCCCCCCACCTACATTTCGGAGACGGCTAAAAAATAATGATTTTTCAAGAAAAGGCTTGGGGCCACCATCAATTCTCGGAAGTGAAAATGAGCTAAAATTAAAAAATCATATTCAAAAATTAGAAAAACATGGTTTCGCTCCGACTAGAGATTGTGTTAGAGCTATGGCTTTTAATTTAGCAGAGCAACTAAATATTAAACATACATTTAATAGAGAAAAGGGACTTGCTGGTTACGATTGGTTGAATATGTTCCTTAAACGTAATCCTGACTTAAGTGTTCGAAAAGCAGAGGGTGTTTCATTAGCCCGTTGCCAAGGGATGAACAAGACCGAGGTTTCATCTTATTTTACTCTTCTGCAAAACGTACTGGAGGAAGCTGACATAATGGGTAAACCAGGGCATTTGTTTAATATGGATGAGACGGGACTCCAACTAAATAACAAACCAGGATACGTTATTGCAAAGAAAGGTTCAAAGAATGTAGCAGCCATTACGTCTTCGGAAAAAGGTGAAACTATAACTATTATTTCCTGCTGTAATGCTGAGGGTTTTTTTCTCCCACCGGCATGTATTTTCAAGGGCCAAAATAAAAAAAAAAGAATTTGAAGATGGTATGCCACCGGGTTCTGTTGTGTATATGAATAAGAAGTCGGCTTACATTAGCACTGAATTAATGTTTACTTGGCTAAAGAACCATTTTGTTCCAAGGAAGCCTGAAGGAAAAGTTATTTTAATGTTAGATGGTCATGCTAGCCATTGCAATTCGCCTGAAATGCTTGAATACGCCGAAGAACATCAGGTATTATTGTTTTGCCTTCCTAGCCACACCACCCAATTTCTGCAACCACTCGATAGAAGTTTTTTTAAAAGTCTTAAGGCTTACTTTAATTCTGCGTGTAACAGATATGTGCGAGCAAACCCAACGAGAAAAATATCAAGGCTTAATTTTGGAGAATTACTGGCCGATGCTTGGTCTAAATCAGCCACAATAGAAAACGCTGTCTCTGCTTTTAAATCCACAGGCATTTGTCCGTTTAACCCCGAGGCAATACCTAATTATGCTTATTTAAATGACAACGAGAACGACCATCTGGAAAAACGCAACATTGATAATCTCAGCGAGACTCCTGAGCATTTGGAAAATCCAGGACCATCATCACAAGAAACTAGGACCAATGTCACTACGGTCAATAATGGAAATCAACCCATTGCTGCCAAAGATAGTTCTTCAGATGGCGATACACCTGGTAAAGTTAACTAAATAAATTTTTAATAATCGTTAAAATTTTCTTATAACTTTTTTAGGGACGATGTTGGCTAAAATGCACCCTGTTCCTAGCACTTCCTCCATTTCTGTGAATAATGTCAGAAAACGTGGAAGACAAGTTGGAACTGTTCTAACGTCTCCTGAACATATTGAGAAAAAAAAGTCGGCTCAGTTAAATAAGGAAGCAAAAGAAAGGAGGCAAACATTCAAAAAAAAAGTTACAAAGAAAAATGTAGAAAGGAAATCACAGAAAATGAAATCAAGAGAAACGAAATATTCCTCAACAGATGAAGATACCGACTTTGAGCTTCAAGAATCCGGCGATAGCCCTTTAGAAGAGGAAGATGTAGAATGTGTAGGTTGCGGTGAACCCTACAAAACAACAGTGAAAAAAGATGACTGGATTCAATGTGTATATTGCAAAAATTGGTGTCACGAAACTTGCTCAAACTTTGTGAATATATGTAACCCCTGTGGTAAGGTTTTAAGCAAGAAAAAAAATGAATAAGGGACATTTATCACTGAGCCATCAATCCCATACCCACTGAGCCATCTAACCCTTAAGTACCGGGTGAGTTGGCCCAGGTATTCATTTTGACTTTTATTTTTTTTTTGAAAAAACCGTTTTTATTTTTGACATGAACTGTTTATTATTCTATCTATACTCACGTTTGAAACATAAATAAATAAGTTTAAGAAAGATATCTTGTTGTTTTTTTTTGTTAGAAGGGTTTAAAAAAATGTGAGCCATCTCTCCCGGAATTACCCTATGCCATGTAGAAATCTACATATCAACTTTTGACATTTTCGCTTTAAAAATATCGTATTTTAAATTTCTATCTAGAGTGTCATGGCTGTGTTAAAAACAATTATTTTTCTACAAGGAGCCTTGGAAAAATAGATTTCATTGTCTAATGTTTTTCGTGTCTTGACCTGGCCGGTTAAAAGATACCCAAATCATATTTTTAATCATATCTGAAGTTTTTCAAATGGAAGAAGAATGGCTCATTAGCATATTTGAAAAAAGCATTTTTTACGAATAATTTGGTACCACACACTTGGTATTTCGAATCAAATTCTCGTTATGAACAGCATGTTACAATTTCAAATAAACCATATGCGAAAATGTCAAAAGTGGACATATGATATGTCATTCTATTCTGAGTGTCATTTTCTATCCAATAAAGTAAAAATATACCGGTAGTGCCATTAAAAAATCAAAAGTTATAGTAATTTCCGGTAAAACAGGAAGTGACCAAAAACAATTGAATACGTCAATCAATCCTAATTTAGGTCAAATACCAATGGCGGCTCGTGGCCCGTGTGACTGGGTAGGCGATAAAATTTTAGTTGTGTCTATTTGCCCCCTCCCCCTAATTTACATAATACCCTAGCCCAGTTTGTAAATATATGTTATCTCTGATTTAAAAACATAGCTCAAAAATATTTAGGACACAACTAAAGCAAAAATAACAGCATTGAACGTAATGACATAATATATAAGTATAGTTTTTATTAATCTATTTTATCTATTATTTTTTTATCTATTACTATGGAGTCATTATGGAGTACATCATAGAATTGTATTTTAATTTTATTTATTTACGCAAACTTAAAAATTGGTAGTATTGAGAGAAAGAATAATTATGTTTTATATATACAGGGTGAGTTTCCTACGATGTTCTTTATGGGTATCTCGGAAACTACTGGAGATAGAGAGTCGGTTAAATGGGGAAAGAATTGCAGTTTTGTGGGGTCATAAATATGCGCCTTTCAGATTTTTGAAAAAGTTCATGGCTTACTAGATATTTAGAAAAAAACAAATTTCGGCTATTTTAAAAATTGTCCCTAATTCCATTATAAGCTATTTTAGACAAAAAGTTTTTAGATAAAAGTTGTAGATAATCACATCCTTAATGAGATTATGTCCTCCGTTTTTTTCTAAAGCCTGTCATTTTTGACATTTGACACAAATATATGTTTTTTTAAATGGAAACCATAGTTGGCCATGACTTTATAAAAAGTGCCATTTTTTAAGCTTTTCAGCTATATAAGCTATAATATATTTTCTTCGAAAAATTATCGAGTTTTAGCCAATTCTTATCATTTTTAAATAATTTCACTTAGTTAGCCATAGAAACAATCGTCTTTGCTGTTATAAATGTGAAGCTGCCACATCCAAACTTTGTAAATTAAAATAAACAAAAATTGTAAATATGAATTTTTCAAATGAAGAAAAGCGTGTAAGATTATTGGTTCAACTTTTCTTGACCATACATTTTCGAGGATACGTTGACCGGTGAATGTTATGTTTTTTAAAGAACGATTTTCAAAACTTGTTAGAAAAGTTAAATTTAGTTATAGCCAATTCTTATTTCTCTTGACTAATTTCACTTAGATTGCATGGCATTTTTATTCTTTTCTGATTTATAACTTATAAAATGTCAGAATATATTACTCAACGGTTCTTTAGAATTTACATTACACAAACTAAAACTTAAAAAAATAATATCGCTGCAGTTGAGTCACTGCATACACTTTAAGTTATTTTAGAAAATGTTCAAAAATTCCATTGTTTTGAATTACATCTTTTTGAAACTGAATTATTACCTATTGTCACAAAAGGACCGGTTGATTTAATTAAACTTCTCTCGTACCGCCACTTCGAGTGCCTCATAAAATACCGCATAAAAAATAATCTAAAATGGATAGGTCAGGTGATCGAGGAGGCCCATGCAATTAGTCCACCTCTTCCTATCCCTGAGTTTATATTATTATATCAATAATTTTTAACATCTCTTAAATTTCTTAAATTTTTTAAATTTCTTAAATTTTTTAAATTTCTTCCCGCATTATGCGGGGGGGCATAATGAAAGTCATTTTGGAAACACTCTATTGATGCGCGAGTATCTACACGCTTTTCTTCATTTGAGAAATTCATATTTACAATTTTTGTTTATTTTAATTTACAAAGTTTGAATGTGACAGCTTCACATTTCTGAGAGTAACGGCGATTGAACTTGTTTCCATGGCTAGCTAAGTGAAATTGTTTAAAAATGATAAGAATTGGCTATAACTCAGTAATTTTTCGAAGAAAACATATTATAGCTTATATCGCTAAAAACTTAAAAAATGCTGCTTTTTATGAAATCATGGCCAACTATGGTTTCCATTTAAAAAAACATATGTTTGTGTGATATGTCAAAAATGATAGACTTTAGAAAAAAACAGAGGACACGATCTCATTAAGGATGTGATTATCTACAACTTTTATCTGAAAACTTTTTGTCTGAAATAGCTTATAATGGAATTAGGGACAATTTTTAAAATAGCCGAAATTTGGTTTTTTTTCAAAATATCTAGTAAGTCATGAACTTTTTCATAAATCTGAAAGGCGCATATTTATGATCCCACAAAACTGCAATTCTTTCCCCATTTAACCGACTCTCTATCTCCAGTAGTTTACAAGATACCCATAGAGAACATCGTAGGAAACTCACCCTGTATATTAAATTGATGACTCGGTCTTTTAATAAAGAAAAGTTATTTATTATTATATCAGTAAAATCATCAGATTGTTGAAGAACTGTGAAAAGATCTTTTTAGATTGAAAGTAAGGCAAGTGGCGATAAACGTTTATTTTTCATGTAATCACTACTATAAATTTTAATGCATTTCAAACATGAAAAATATCTCTCAACCCAAGTACTTGTAAATGGTGTAATAACAAACAAAACAAACGATTTGAAAGCCTCTGGAAATATTATATTTCCAGGATTATTCTCCTTAAATTATTTTATGCTCGAAATTGTCATATCTATTATTAATACCTGCAATTTGTTCATTAATTTATGTTGGTCAATAACATTTTTTGTTTGTTAAATCACTATTAAATGCGTTGGAAGTTGCAAATGTATCAATATAACAGGTTTGTCAAATCAGATGTTAAATGCGTTGGAAATTTTTATAGGATTCTTTAAATTTCGGATCCGCAAGAGATAAATAAAAATAATTGAAACATACGAGTACCTATCTGCAAACATAATTTCTAAATGTATAATAATGTTAGCTAATATTTCATAAAATAAAATTCGCAAAGATATTTGACTTGGCCGCTTTTATTAACAGATCGAATTGAAATAACACAGATACTTTTCTCTAATATCTGTTGTATCGTCTTCTTGCACCGAATAAAATAACGCGTTTTTTTATTTCGGATTCTTTTATTTCTGTGGCGTATCATTTTTAATAATCTCAGACAAGCCCGAAAAATGTTTCCAATTTGCTTTAAATTTGTTTTTTCAATTTTCATATAAAAGTTTTAAATGCTACGTATAATGAATCATATGAAATATCCCCTAACGAAATGTGATATATCTCCTTATGAAATATCCGGAATATCCCCACATCTAAGCCTTAGACAAGGAAAGAGAGGGGACAGGTAACACGGCAGCTGAAACTGAAGCCACTTGTCACCACTTGAAATTCTCCAATGGTGTAGCATCAGAAATGAGCTTGTACCTAGACGATAAAAAATATTTATTAAAACGTTAACTAATATATCGTTTATTTTTGAGTAATGCATATACAATTTTCTATTTTATAGTCTCACTTATATAATATTAGAATATCTAAGTCGATAATGAAAAATTTATTTAACAGTCACAGTGAACTGATCATCAAGACAATTATTTATATATTAACGTGTGTATAATGATTAAATAGAAATAATGTAAACATATATGTTTTAAACGTGTATATACATGTGTACCGTATGATCGAAAAACAACGGCATCCTGTTTGTTTGGAAATGACGATCGATGACATTCCCCATATAACTCTATATATAAAATGACATAAAAACTATATAAAATAACATCGAAAAAAGACCGAGAGGAATGTCATCGACAGTCATTTACAAGCCAACCGGACGCCGTTTTTTTTTCGATCATACGGTATAATCATGAATCTAGGCAATTCCCTTCACACTTGCCTACGGATTCAATGAATAATGTAATTTTTAATATTTGTTACCTTCAATCATAAGAATATCTTAATTTTCCGCAAAAAAAATAAACAAGAAGCTTTGTGTAAGCTTATTTATTTATTTTTAAATTTTTATTAATTACTCACTGAAACTATTATTATACACCTAAATTAGCAATTTTTTTGAAAGGATATTTAAAAAAATATAGTAACAAGTAGCCCACCACAAGTTTTTCTACCCCCCAGCAAATCTTGGCAGGTAAATTTAAGTTTTATGTAACAACTATAGACATATAGATTTTTTATAACCAAAATTTTTCATGTTTTTTATAGTTTACAATTAATATTTTACATATTTGATGACAATACTTTATACATTTTTTTTACATGTAAAATATATAAAAAAATGTTTATTGCAGAAATTGTATTTCTCATTTTACATATTTTTACTGCTATAATGAAAAAAATGTAAATTTTATGACTACATAACAAAAGTTGTGTATCGACTTTTACCTGTAAAATGTAATTTCAGTCATTTTTTTCTCGCTTCAGCCTTTGCAGCCATACGCTGAACATCTCACCATACTAACCAACACAGTTTACAAATTTAAAACAAAACAGAAATGTCACAAAAAACATAAAAATTCGCTCGGTGTCACCTCAAAATCTTGTCACCATAGTATGGCCGCCGATCGAATTTCGGCCTCATTAACCGATAACGGGAGAATATGCGTGTTACCCGTCCCCTCTCTTTCCTTGTCTAACATCTAAGCCTACCGAGCCTCCACTACTTCATGCGAAGGCGACCGGATATTTCGCCTAAGCCCCTCCTTAATATGATACAACTCCGACTTAGGTTGCGTCGCTACCGCACGATGTTAGACAGAGACAGAAGACTGTTGTACGTCGTGTATCGACTCTGATAGTAGGCGATGTAGAAATCGCCGAACAAAGGCACTCCAACGGTCAAAATTATTTTGTTTTCTAACCGGCACAGTTACAGTCAGCGGTCAGGGTACGCCAGCGGTAGTGAATATAATTTTAATATGCAAGACCACAAATATTAAAATAATATTGATTATTAAAACGCACTTCCGTGTATTAACAGTATTTTTATGTATTGTCAACATTAATAGTAAATAATGTAATGTAATAAATCGCTTAAATTCTGCCAAAATCTTAGGGTAGGCGCCGCCTACCTTGCCTACCCTGACGAGCCGCCACTGTCAAGTACTAACATACCAAATCCCTTTTTTTATCTGAAAAATAAAAAATTATAATGGTGAGCCACTTTTGAGATGCACCCGGTATTATGGTATATCGATATAGGCTGAATTTCGGCTGTAATACTTCAGTTAATGTCGATAACAATCCTAAACGTTGCCATTACTTTTGTTTACGACGCTATTAAAAACCCCGAAACCATTTTGAAGATTTTCTTATTACAAAAAGTTTTTCTTCTTCCCGATTTCTGTTCGGAGCAGTCCTATTCCCATTTCATTGTTATTTCGCCGCGATAAGCCGGTATATTTCTTTAATCTTTCTTTAGATAATATCGAGTCGGCATAATTTGAGGAAGCGAGAATCGCGAGTTTCGATGCTCCTACACTAAGCCTTTAGTTTTTCTTTTTGTAAGGTCTTTTATTAACACCAACTAGATAGATATTTTTCTTTTTCCGGTTTTCTTCCTATTCCGCGATATTTTCTCTGGAAATATATTGCTGCAATATCTTTGCAGTAAGGAAACAATGACGTTTCTATTTATCTCTCTATCGAACGTCTAGTTCGATAATAATTGATTTTATTTCGAATTGTCAGCGATTTTCTCTTATTTCTGGATAAGAGTTTTCGATATCGATGCACCACCGTTCGGGCTATGATAAAGTATTATGTTTGTACAAGTGTAGATAAATTTTTCGGTAGTCACGGTAGAATGCTTCCAGTCTTTTCATTTCGTTCTATTCAGAAAACGTATTTTTTTATTTTGTTAAATTTATCCATCTTGAAAAATATCGTAAAAGGGAATTTATTTTTTATGATTTCAAAGATAGTCTCGCCAATAATTTTTTTTGGTGTGTATTAAAGTGTATTAAAAATTTTTACTTGTTTTTGTGTACTTGGCTAATTTTTCATGTCGTATGACAAAAATGCACAGAACTAATGAAGTATAACTTTTGATATTTTAACAATTTTGGTAAAAATATTTAACAAAGTTGGAACATATGATTATGATATAGAACAAATATTATTTTCAGCTTTTACGTATCGGAATAATATTGATAAACATCCTAAAAGTGTCCATTATTTTTGTTTGTGACGCCATGAAACATTCCAAAAAATTCCAAAAGTTCCCTAGATATAACCACATTCATCCAGAATTCCTTATTTACGCTGGAAAACTGCCCTCAAATGGCTTTGTAGTTTCTAATTTTATCAACAGGCAACATTCCAAAGGAATTGAAGAAAACTAAAATAATAGCTGTATTAAAACCAGGGAAATCTAAAGATCAACCTCTATCGCCCCATAGCCCTTCTTAGTTGTACCTACAAGCTCCTAAAACGACTTATTTTCAATAGAATAAAGGATAGTATCTTAGACCATATTCCAGTTGAACAGGCAGGTTTCATTCCTAAACGCAGCTGCTGTGACCAAGTCCTAGCACACCTCGCATTGAAGGTAATTTCCAACTTAAGCTTAAAACTTCCATAGTTTTTGTCGATTTAACAGCCGCTTACGACACAGTCTGGAGAGATGGTATGGTTTATAAATTACTTAAAGCACTGCCTTGTCAAACTATAGCTCGAGTTATCAACAACATGCTAAGTAACCGATATATCCAAGTATTTCTAGGAGAGAGCACAAGTAGACCTAAAAAACTTAACAACGGCTTACCCCAAGACTCCGTTCTCGCCCCTCTCTTATTCAACCTACACATTCAACCTCTGACCTACCAGATATGCAATCAAGAAAATTTTGTTACGCAGACGATATAGCTATAGCAACTGAACATGAATCGCTATACCAAACCCAAGAAACACTGATAAAGAATCTCGCAGCCTTGAATGCCTATTTTATTAATCAAATTAATGGAGACTTCAACCCAGTGCAAATAAAACAGAAGTGGCTACCTTCCATATTAATAACAAGCTGGCGAATGCTCAAATAAGCGTCCAGTTTGGTAACACCAATCTGCGTAACAACAAATATCCAAAATATCTGAGGATTACTCTACACCGTTCACTATCATTTCGAAAACACCTAGAAAATGTTGCTGGTAAAATAAGAACATGAAACAATATTATACAAAAACTTTGCGGTACTCCTTGGGGTGCAAAAGCAACAACACTTCGGATTTTCGCCCTTGGTCTGGTATTCAGTGTGGCAGAGTATTGTGCACCCGTGTGGTTGAACAGCCACCACACAAATCTCATAGACAGACAGCTGAACAACACCATGCGGCTGATTACAGGGACAATCAGATCCACACCCAGTTACTGGCTTCCAGTTCTTAGTAATATTCTACCTCCAAATCTACGCAGAAACGAGGCTCTTCTTAGAGAATTTGATAAACTAATAGCTACCCCAACGCTCCCTGTTTATGAAACACTTCCTGCTTTACAGGTGACAAAACTGAAGTCGAGAAACCCACCTTTGCGAACAGCTGCACAGCTAAAAAGCAGTAACTACAATTCTCGAGAGCAGTGGCTTCAGTTATGGAGAGAAATGGCCGATGCGCACCTATACTCATGGTTCGAAAATAACTATTGCCAGATACCAGGTACCGATCTAAACCGGAAAACATGGTCAACTTTGAATAGGATACGCTCTGGCCATGGAAGATGTGCGGATTCCCTTTATAACTGGGGTAAAATACCTTCCCCAGAATGTGTTTGCGGATCCCCTCACCTAACCATCCACTACATAACTAGAGAGTGCAACCTACGCGGTTATGGTGAAGTTTGGGGGGACTTTCTGGAAGCTTCTCCATCAGCTTTGGAATGGATAGGGCATCTATATGTCAATATATAGTGTTCGTAAATACGTTTTTTATGTTGTCTTTTTATCATATACTTGTTTTTTTTTATATTTACATTGTGATGTTTTCGTTTACGTTGTAGTTTCTTTTATGTCTATGTTTAAAAGTCTTTTTTTCTTGCATGTATAGCCATACGATAAATAAATAAATAATTCCAAAAGTTATCTTAAAAGCTTTCTTATTATTACAAGTTCTTTATTGTATTCATTCTCATCAGAACAGTTTTAGTCCTTTTTTAGTTGTTTCTCTGTGATGGAACACAGTATATTGCTTTAATCTTTTTTTAGATAATATCGACTAGACCTAATTTGAGGATTCGAGAACCGCGAGCCTCGATACTCATACACAAAGCCTTTAATTTTTCCTTTTATAAAGTCTTTTATTAACACCGACTAGATAGATATTTTTCTTTCTCCGGTTTCCTCCAATTCCACGATATTTTCTCTGAAAATATATTGCTGCAATATCTTTGCAGTATAAGGAAACAATGACGTTTCTATATATCTCTCTATCGAACGTCTAGTGCGATAATAATTGATTTTATTTCGAATTGTCAGCGATTTTCTGTTATTTCTGGATAAGAATTTTCGATATCGAAGCTGCCTACGCTCTGATAAAGTATTATGTTTGTACAAGTTCAGATAAATTTTTCTGTAGTCACGGTACAATGCATCCAGCCATTTTGTTTCGTTCTATCCAAACAACGTATTTCTTTTAAGCACCCACACTAATCTTTCATGTTATAAAATTTATTCATCTTGAGAAATACGTAAGATACAATTGGTTCTTAAAATAACGGTACATCAATGTTATTTTGTCAACATTTCGTCTTTAATAGTAGTAGTAATAGTCAATATAACTTTTCTATATTTTATTTTTAATACCATAAAGTATTTTTTACGTATTTATAAATATTGAAGAATTTTTTTTTGTAAATATTAGAATATTAAATGTTTTAAAAGAAGTAATAAGAGAAATGTTCTTTCAGATTTCATATAAAATAAATATAAACATTTAAATTAAGTAAAAATTTTATTTCCAACGGTTTTGTACAAAAATAAATATACAGATTATCTTAATATTACTAAACCTGACAGCAGTTTCCTATGTCAAATGAAATTTGATATTTCATTTGTGGCCGGATTTTCCTACTATGTAAATGCCTTCGGGTAATTCGTCTTCTTGAGCGAGGGCTTTGTGATATTCGTCTCCAACAGGATAAGGTGTAGTAGAGGCAACCTAAACAGAATATAATAGAATATTAGATATTTAATATTCTATTTTTTATAAAAAAAATTAGACAATTTAAAAGTAAATGTTTTTACGCTTCTATAATAGGTAATAAAAATGTCTATACCTCAGACATTTTACGTTAACAACGTCAACGGTTTCATAGAAAACAACGTCAACGGTTTCTTGTACACGTATCTGTTTTAAAAAAGTAAAGTGTTCTCGAACAGTCGAATTTAAATATTTTAATTAGTTTTTTTCTTTATTGATTGTATTTTTTTGCTTCCGACGACGGAAAGAGATAAACTTTCCGAAACGTTAAGCATTTTTTTCTTTGTTAGGCAAATTTGTATAACTGTAAACATAACTTCTGACAAACAGTGTCCGTTTAGGTTTAACGCAGAAGCGTTTACAAAAAATAACTATTTTATTTTGTAGATTTTCTTCCAGTGCAGTGGCGAAATACCCATAAAGGATTTATAATAGGTAATGCTATAAGCGGGGTGATAACTGTATGAATAGTAGAAAACGGATACCATGCTGGCAACTGTTACTTTTGGGTCGGTACTTACATCAGAGGCGGATCGTGAATTTGTGGGGCCCTGGGCTGAAACTACTTAGGGGCCTACTTAAGTACTCAATTATAGCCATGTCAAAAAACATTGTAGTGACACGCCATATTGGCAGCGTTGTCATAAGATTTCCCCATCAGTAGTAATCCATTTGTTTCTATAAAGTCTTGTAGAATATTAAATAAATGTAATGCAGTATGACTACTAATTTTAATGAAGGCTACACATCTTTCATATACTTTTCCCCGAAAACAGTATCGTAATACAATAGCAAGTTGTGAGACAGATCATTGTGAGACAGATTTGGTGTAGAATCCATCACAGTTGAATAATATTTTGTGTGTTTGTGTGTTTTTGATAAGTACGATATTATCGGTTTTGGTGGCAGCTCCCGATATTCAATGTGTTCACGAATGAATGGATGGAACTCTGCCAATAGCTCCAGACTCCTCATAAAACTACCATTATGTGGAGAACCAAATACTTCCTCGGAACTTCTAAATGCTAAGCCATTTATACTCAAAAATTTTACCACTACAATTACCCGTTTTTGGACATTCTGATAATAATATATTTCTTTTCTTAATTACTCCTGAAGCTGCTTGCCTAAAACAGATTTATTTTCTTTTCAACCACACTAACATTGATTTCTTATGTTCATTAGAATTTTCGTGGGTTTCTAAACAAGTTCCTATGTGTTTCCATCAGAAATTCCAGTCGTGTATTGAGAAGAGGTTTAAAAAAAAAGTTTGCAAGGCATACAAAAAACAGCACAAACACTTGTTGAATATGTTAGCCAAGATCTTTCCAGTGATTGACCATTTTTCATTTTTTAGCGAAATGGCTATTTCAAAATGCTCTGTTTTGTTCCTTGTATTTCTTTATAGAAGCTGAATATATATATTTTGGATTTTTATTTTGAAAGTCGGTCATTTTATGTGAGAGGATGTCATTAAATCATTATTTAGCATTCTGGCCACAAGCCCACGTCAACATATTTCTCAAACTCAAAATTAATAGGTATTCTCTAAATGCGTGTCTCTGTCTCCGTGTTTGTGTTACCATCCTGTCGCTGAACACCAATATCGTTTTCCGTTTGATCAGAGGGTTGCTGGTAGTCAAAACCTTGCACATTTTCATCATTTGTCTTTTTTTCTTGGTGTTGCGATTTGCTACTCCCTTCAAATAGATTCTCTTCAGATAATATCCCTTCCTTTGCGCTTGTTGATGAATTTTCAGCGAGTTCGTCCTCGTTTTTATGTTTTGATTTGAAAAAAGTCCCAATTTTTGCACATTTTTTTCTTTCTTTTTCTCAATCTAGCTGTAATTTGCGTTTCTCAGCTCCACTTTTATACCTTTCGACCATTATTGTAAATTAAGACTTTGATTTTTTTCTGAAAATAAACAATGAACTTGATAGTTTTCTGATAAATAAACAGTGAATGAGATAATCGTTGCATTTGAAAACGTGAATACTTTGTAATGAGTGCAGTAATTAAAAATTATGGTAGTTTTTTTTAATTTAGATTTTTTTTTAAATTCAAATTATCGCCTATTCTTATTAGCGGGGTCTGAGGGCCCCTTGCAACCTCGGGGCCCTGGGCTACAGCCCAAACAGCCCTTAGGTAGATCCGGCCCTGACTTACATATATGGAAGTAAATCGAATAGGGATCTTATTAAGTCGGAGTGAGAGGAATGCGACGGTGTGCTGTTGCGGCGTTGCCAGAACGCCTTTCCCTATCAAGTAAAGTAAAATCACGATCGCAAACCGATTATTTTTAAAAAACTTTTATTTTCGAAAAGATAACTAGAGAAAATCACACATCCATTTACTTTAGTGCATAGCAATTTCCAGCAATCGTGTAACTTTTTTATTTATAAAGATTTTCACATACTGTCTGCGAGGAAATTATAGCAGACATATTAAGAAAGTTTTTTAAAAAAAATCTAAAATCAATTATTTCTAATAGATTTTGAGATATCGATTTTTGAATTCAGAGTTCTAATAGCGCGACCACTATCGAGCACCAACTCAATTCCACTTATTTTTTATCAAAGCTATAGAGAAAATTACAATGACACGTTAGTAAATGAACAAATAAAGTATCACGAGACGTAATTAAAGAGTGAAGCTGAATGCACGTATAAGGCATGATGTACACCTTTCCCTAGAACTTTAAGTACTGACAGAGGTACTAATTCGGTCGATCAGTTGTGTCTAGCCCTAGCAGGCAATTATTAAGCCCGACCAATCACGTTAAAGTTTTTGAGAAACACAAATGAATTAACACACTCCAAATAACCACGTTAACCAATTGATTGCGTCAGCTTAATAGTTGACTGCTAGAGCAAGATACTTCTGGTAGATCGATCGACTACGGCAAATCTGCTATATCCCCTTCTACGTCTCTTAGCCATGTGTACAGTTTCTCGGTTTATTTCATACGTTTGGCAACGTGTTTACTGTTCTCTCTTTGTTTAGTACATTATAAACGCATTGTACTCTTCTTACATACGGAAATCTCGACCCAAAACTAACCTTTGCCAGTATATCTATTTTATATAAAAATACTATCTCAAAAATATCTTGAATATACCGATTTGGTCATTTTAGAACTGCGGTCTCGATTTTAACGTGTAAGACAGAGAATAATATAAATGACCGGTTGACAGACAGAGAGACAAAATCAAAAGTGGCATATAGTATTACCGGTTTTTTACGTTTGTAGGAAACTTTATGTATAAAAAAAACTATTTTAAAAACTTAAATAAAGATAATATATCTAAGTTAAATAGAATCTATTACATCTGTAGTAAAATGAGTAACTAATTGTGAAAAATAAGGTTCCAACCATAGATGCAACATTTTCCATAAACGCCTATTTATGCGGTTTGAACTTTTGATGCAAAATTCGGCAATACCGGTATAGAAGAAATGTATCAACCCAACTTTTTATCTCTTTTTAATACATTTGATTTTCCATTAAGCTGCCTACATCACTGTCTACGTGACTTGTCACGTTAAAATCCACACCACACTTCTAACATGACCAAATCGGTATATCGAGGAATTGTACGGGGTGCATTCGATTTCCCAATGAATACTTGATATTTTTATGAAAAAATTTATTACTGGAGTCAAAATATTCCTTCCAACATAATAAAATTAATCGTATGAGTTAAGATTTTTTTATAGAATTGTAAAAAGAAAGCAAGGAGTTTTTTAAGGATGTGTCAAATAAATTAAAATTGGTTTAAAAAAGTTAGCGTGGGTAAAAACTTCTAAACGGAATTCATTCAAAATCTATCTGATTTTGGTGCACCCTCCATTCTTACGATATACAGGGTGGTCCGAAATGTGTTCAGGATACTTTGGAAGCATATTCAGCAGATAAAATTGGGTCAAAAAATTCGTATAAATTTTGGCCTTAAAATGCCGTTTCAGAGATACAGGGTATAGAAGTTTTATTTTTATGTTGATTTTTTTTAAATAATTTCTGGGCCAATGTCTTTATATGGATGAAAATTAATGTCTAGGTGTTTTTTGACATGAGAAATATTATTCGATGTGAATATGATTCCTACTTAGGCGCCACCTATATATTTTTTAACTGGTTTGAAGAATAGTAACTTTTTTACAACGTACCTCTACAAAACTACTGAGTGAAGAAATATTCATAGCCGCAATTTTTATGTAAACAAGGTCTCGTAGAAAAAGTTGCCACGAGTAATGGTTCTCGATACTACATAGATAGTTGAAAACGAAATTATCAGGTTTTTTTGCAAAAAAATTGAAAATTTGGAATTTTTTGAAAAATTTCTTGGAAATTTTTTTAGTTTTTAGTTAAAAAATATAATTTGATCATAATATGCCAACATATGTAGGTAATAGATTAAATTTACAAGGAAGAAAATCCAGAAAAGATCCAGTGGTTCTCAATTTTTTTTTAAAGTAATCTTTTTTGGAAATTTTCAATGTAAAATATTTTTCCTTTATCGAGATCTACCAGCCCTGAAAATATTTGTACTTATTTAAGACCCACCCTGTAGTTAGATTAGATAGAAGAAATTATTTGGAAAGAATGCAAATAAAAATGAAACGTCTACACCCTCCATCTCCAAAACGAAGCATTTTAAGACATATATTTATACGAACTTTTTTACTGATACAGGGTGGTCCGAATTGTATTCCAGAAACTTCGGCAGCATATTCTGCAGATAAAAATAAGTAAAAAAGTTCGTATAAATGTAGGTCCTAAAATGCTTAGTTTCACAGATACAGGGTGTAGAAATTTCATTTCTATTTCGATGAATGAAAATTGGTGTCTGGGAATTTTTTGACATAAGAAATTTGATTTTGATGTCAATATGACTCCTACTAGTAGAGGGCGCCACCTACATATTTTTAACCGGTTTGAACTTTTCGTCCGTACCTGTATAGAACTACCGAGCGAAAAAATATACATCGCTGTGACTTTTTACGTCAAAAATATATCTTTGTAAAAATCGCTACGAGCAACCGTTCTTAAGATATTTAGAATGGAAATGTCAATGCATGTCATTATTGACAAAAAATAAACACGTTGACTAGATTTATTTCACCGAAATAATATATTTTGAAAATTTTTATTTTTTTTTAAATTGATCATAAATTTTTCTGCAAAAAATCATGATAAAACAGTTCCTGTTAAACTTTTGGCATAAAAATATTTCAAATTTACGATTTCAGTCTAATAACAATTTAGTCAACATGTTTAATTATTAATGTCAATGATGACAGGTATTGATAATTTCGATTCCAAATATGTCGAAAACAATTACTCGTAGCGATTTTTACCAAGAGACCTTTTTTACGTAAAAAGCGTCGTAAATATATATTTTTTACTCAGTAGTAGTTTATACAGGTACGGACGAAAAGTTATTACTCTTCAAACCGGTTAAAAAATATGTAGGTGGCGCCCTCTACTAGTAGGAGCCATATTGACATCAAAATAAAATTTCTCAGGTTAAAAAACTCCCAGGCACCAATTTCCATTCAAATATTGATGTTACTTCAGAAATTATTTGGAAAAAATCGAAATAAAAATGAAACTTCTACACCCTGTATCTCCGAAACTAAGCATTTTAGGACATACATTCATACGAACTTTTTTACTTATTTTTATCTGCAGAATATGCTGTCAAAGTTTCCGGAATACAGTTCGGACCACCCTGTATACAATATCGTGCCGAATACAGTTCGGACCACCCTGTATTATTACAGACTTTTCTGGTGGTAGATATTTCCTAGACTATTCATGAATAAAATTAATATAAATAAACAAAAAGAATTAAATTTTGTTTAATATTTAAAAAATGATAATATGAAATAAATAAAATTAATGGTTACTGCTCTTAATTCAATATAATGCAAAACTTACATTTTTCTTATATTTGTTCACATCAATGTTATATATTCCATTATTGTTGACACCGGTTTTGTAAGAATGTGTTCTGGGTGGTACCGGTGTCGATGTATACCTAACCACATTTTTCTGGTAAGCTAACGGCCTTACGGTGGTTGACACGTATTTGACATTTTGTCGTACTTGGTCCCTTGGATTGGCGGAGTATATTTCTACATCCGGATGACTATTTTGACCATGCTGTAACAAAATAAATCCCAAAATAAAATTTCTTCTTGGACTTGCGTTGTAATTAATTTTAAAATTTTTGTTTCGACAATGTTTTCGGCAGATATATCATTGACCGTTATCAAGTGTGAACTAATCTAAATCCTAAAACTACTGTGCCAATGTTTTACTTGGATGGTTAAAAATGTTGTTATTGCTAGGTATAGAAACGGTTTCCTTAAACATACGCTTTCCCAATGAGGTTTCTTGTAAACAACTCGGGATTGCAATCACCTTATGTTGTAGTGCTTGGACCATCGTCTGCAATATTTTACTTCATTGTTTCGCCTGCTCTGGGTAACGATTTTTATGTTCGTTATGTCGTACATTTAGACAACGCTTGAGAAGCATTCACAAGGTACCCGCAGATACACTCTTTTTCATTTTTTGATGTTTCCGCTTTTGTTTTTAGAATAGTTCTGTTTTATTCTGAAAATTCTGTTTTCAGAACTGTTTTAGAATAGTTCTAGACTTAAAAACAGCTTTAATATTTCCTGATGTTCCTTTTAAATATAGAATCGTCCAGAGTAAAAGAGCATCTTCCTCAGGCTGGTGCAACAATGAATCGTTCTTGGAATTGGATGTAATATTGTTGAGAGATTTCCCAGATTAAACATTTTTTGAAGCAAATCTTTTTTAATATTACTTAGTTAGGAATTAAGATATCTTTGATCACTATATTTTAATATCGTCATCGACATTGCTCTATGACATAATGTTTTATTAAAAGTAAAAGAATTTCGGACTTCCATTATCTTTATTTATTTTGCTTACACAACGTTTTGGTTAGGTTTTGGTCAGTTTTATTACTGACCGTTATCAAGTATGATCTAATCTAAATCCTAAAACTACAGAGCTTGTGTACTAGAGCCGAGCCCTTATATACAATAATTCACGCGTGAATTTGCAGTCAAGCATGAGGCTGCAGTCAAGCATGAGGTTCTCTACTAAGAACACCTACATTGGATCCTTTTATCAGTGGTTGCCATATTGTTGAAATTTCCATACTTGGTTTACTAAAGATTTTACTATTGTGAGAAATGGATACGGCCTCTTTAATTTTGCGCCTTTTCCAATAGGGTTCTTTGTGAACAACCCGGGCTTCCGACCATTTTATGTTGTGATGCTTGGATCAAATATGATCTGCAATGCCCGACTTCATTGTTTCACTTCTTTGCGTATGTGTTTTGGTCGTAATACAATGGTAGTCCGAAATTCTTTTAATTTTAATACTGAATCATTGTCTACTACATTCAAAGTAATAATATTTTATTACACCTAATTTAGTAAATTATTTATTTGCATTTTTCAAAAGTAATTCTAATTAATATATGTATATTATAGACGATAGGCAATAACATTATTAGGGATACATACATATACTATATACTGGGGTGCAAGGGGTATTGAAGCGATACATATAGCTTAGCTTACCCAAAAATCAACCTCTACCTTCACGTGGTTCACGCGCTTCCCTGTTTACACAAACGAGACTCTGACGTCCAAGTATAGGCAGTATAACCCTCAGACCTATCATCTTCCTCGGAAAGGGGAGTAGTAAACTACTCCTAGCCGGTCGAGAACGCAGCACAAGGGGACTATCGTCGCCAGTCCTCACACTGCCATAGCTATTCCGTGCTACAGTTGCAGCCAAAACTGTGCGGCAGCGTAACCGTCACAATAATTAAACCGTCTCATGCAGCTAACACACATCAATGATCAACATTCGAGTGGGACAAAATCATCGTCCGGAGGTATAATACCTCCTCGATCAGATCTCCGGGAGGGGGTGTCTATTCGAGCGTATCATCTGAGAAACAAAAATCATCAACGTTTCACGCTTGCCGCGTGGAACGTCCGCACTCCACTGGACACGATAAATTTAAATGGACCAGAGAAGAACAGCAATAGTCTCACAGAAACTCCACCGGCTAAATGTAGAAGTTTCTTGCTCTTAGCGAAATCCGCTTTGCCGATGAAGGTAGTCTCACTGAGGAGCATTACACCTTTTTTTGAAAGGGTCACCCCGCAACACACTGGAGAATTCATAGCGTAGGGGCATTGCGATCAAAAACGAAATCACGACCAAATTAACAGAAGTACTTATTGGTGTCTCCGAACGTCTTATGGCCCTAAGGTACCCTATATCAGACAAAACTTACGTCAACATTATTAGTGCCTACGCTCCCACCCTAGACGCTAAAATTAAGGATAAGGCTAAATTCTACCAATCTCTACAAATTGCTCTCCAACGAATTCCAAAGCACAAACGAATCATCTTGCTAGTTGACTTTAATGTGCGTGTCGACAAACAACAGGAAATTTAGCCTGAAGTATTTGGAAAATATGGAATGGGAAATGTAAATAGCAATGGTGAACGCTTATTAACAACATGCACAGAATATAATCTTTGCATTACCAATTATTATTAGGGATAACCTATTGACGATATTAAAATAAAGTGAAGCGTACACCAAAAGTACAAACAAAGAGTCGTACAAAGACTACAAAAGTACAAAAACTGCAAAGACACAATGACAGTCAAAGCTGTATTTAGTCTACCAACATGGAATTTTATACCCTGTTAGTAGCCGAATTGACATTTAAAGCTGACAGAATTGAGAGACGAAGCCAATTGCATATTTTGTCGATCTGGAGAAGAAACAACAGAACACATTTTATGTCGGTGCAATACATACAGAATCTAATCTATCATCTAAATCCTATATCTTACACTTAATCCACTTTACTACAAACTGATACTATACCAGTAGATATCACGAAATATTTAGCATTAAATAATTTAATAAAATACACACTCAAATTTATTTAATAATTTAATAAGGTGCCCTAAACTGGTCAGATCTTTACCAAAACTGCCGGTTATCTTATAACTAAATATTTACCCTTAATCCGTGATTTACGGGTCCTCCTCCTCCGACTAAATAGGCAGCGGTCGTGGGAGTGGGAGAGACGTCAACGTAATTTACAGGGATCAGGGTTGGGCCGGCCGCTTGTTCCAACAACGGCCCTTTTGCCAGGGCACCGGAACCCTTTTGGGCTGCGAGCGGTTGCTGGAACAAGAGACGGTTTGCTGTTTAAAATTAGAATAAATGCCGTCCTATTATCTTTACGGAAATTAATCAAGGTTATTGTCAAAATAACCGCTGCCCTGTACCTGTGTCAGCAAGAGGTCTATAATAACACCAAAAATGAACAGGATTATTTGAATCTTATAAAAAGAAAATTCAATTTAATACTGATATGATTTGTATAGGAATTGGACAGTACCCAAAGGGTAAAAACGGGAACCCTATTACTAAGACTTAGCTCTCCGTCCGTCCGTCCGGCTGTCACAAATGTCTATCTTATGAACCGTTATAGCTAGACAGTTGAAATTTTCACAGATAATGTATCTATGTTGCCGTTATAAGAACAAATACTAAAAACAGAATTATTTATAAATGTTTATAAATAAAAAAGTACTTTCACTAAACATTATCTTTTAAGTAAGAATTTTACATAGAATCTTTCAAGCCCTCGGTGGCCGCGTGGTTAAAGCGTTAGAACTTTACGCTGCTATGACGTTGGAGCCGTAGTAAGGCAGGTTCGAATCCTAGTCAAGGCGACTTTTTTTAATCCTTTTTTTAATTTTTACATATTTTTACATATTTATTTTTACTTTTTACATATTTATTAGTGATTAATACAATTTTTAGTAATGTGTTTCTTCATTTTTTTAAATTACTTATACGCGCATTCAAAATTTCAGCTAAATCGGAAAAAAAGTTTATAATAATATAGTGTCTAATGTTGTATAGATAATGAATGGTACGGAACCCTACGTGCGCGAGTCCGACTCACACTTGACCAATTTTTAATTATCCATCTAACAAAGAAATAATATACGGGATGTTCCGTTTAAAAAAACGGAGATAAACTATTTTATATTTTAGAAAGCTTGGCATACCATATAACTTCACCCATATACCTTTGTTTATTTTTTCAGTAATAAAATTTAATCTAATTCAATAAACTAGATTTGGTACGTTAGTATAAGACATAAATTAGGATAGATTGACGTATTCAATTGTTTTCGGTCACTTACCGGGAATGACTACAACTTTTGATTTTTAAATGATACCCTCGGTATTTTTTAATTTATTCAGTAGCAAATGACACTCTAAATAGAGTGACATATCATATGTCAACTTTTGGCCTTTTCGCTTAAAAAATCTTATTTTAAATTTCCATTTAGAGTGCCATTGCTGTGTTAAAAAAAACAATTTTTAATGAAAAAATCTTGAAAAAATATATTTGATTGTCTAATGTTTTTCGTGTCTTGTTCTGGCCTGCTAAAATATGTCCTAATCGTATTTTTAATTAAGTAAATAGTAAGATATAATTAAAAATTATTAAAATGCTATTTTTTAATTGAAAATGCCGAAAGTTGACATACAATATGTCATTCTATTCGGAGTGGTATTTTCTGTAGTTAGTAAGCCTTAACATAAAATATCAGTTAATATAAAATATAATATTGTTAAATAAAGATCCATCTCTAGGCTTCCGTTTAGTTCTGGTGGCCAGCCACGCCTAAAATTCTAAACAGTTAAGGAGGAGAAGACCCGGAAGAAGGAGAACGAGTAATTTTACGCTAAATAAAGTCTGAGTTTGTTCTTTATAGTCGATGATTTTGTCTCATGCATTGCTAAAGAGACAGTAGCTGAATACGCAAGGGCGGGAATTTATGACTAGTAGCTTCTACTAGAAAAAAATTCAGGCGTATTTACGGCTTTCGCCGCTGACAAATATACTGCAGTGTATGCTCAAAAAGGACGCAAATCAAATGGATTTTTTTTACCTAAGATTATTCTAAAAAGTTCTAACAAGTATTTTTAACCCATAAAAATAGTATATTTTGATAGATCACCATGACAACGGATGTTTAATGACAACAGCGAATTAAAATGGCTATTTTTTAACGCAATATAATGGCTGGGAAACTTAAATGGAAACGACAGTACATTAAACAAATTTCCTCCAACCACCAGAATGCCCAAAATTCCAAAACTGTCAATATCAACAATGAAAATGTCAATAATTTGATTTTTAACTGACACGAGACCCTTTGGTTATGATTTTACGGTTTCATTTCGTTTTCATTTTTTGAATTATTAGACAATTAATTTCCTAACTTCAGATTTTTTGGTAGTATTCTGTTTTAGATAATGTTTTTGTAAAAATTATGGGACAATTTGTGTTTTGTATAGACTCTTAGTTAATTTTTTTATCATGGAGTTTAATTGTTGTACACCGGGTTTCTGAAGGATTGATTACTGATTATTGATTGCTATAGTCTGTCCAACGACAAGTGATAGATGTGTCTGTCATTTTATTTTAAAATTAGTTTATTTTATTTTACAAAGAATTAAGTTGGTACAATTGGAACGCATAGAAGAAAATTAATATGAATATTTAAAATTTGAGTGACAAGTGATTACTTCAAAATATTGTGAAAAAGACTGTATAAAATTAAGAAAATCTAATTGAGTTATTTTATTCAAAAAACAATAATTACAGTATGTGTTAATACAAAACAAGCAAGGGTTTATTTAAAAAAAAACACCACATACCAAAAAAGACATAAAAAAGATTTTCGGACAGTACATTAAACAAATTTCCTCCAACCACCAGAATGCCCAAAATTCCAAAACTGTCAATATCAACAATGAAAATGTCAATATCTGTCAATAATTTGATTTTTAACTGACACGAGACCCTTTGGTTATGATTTTACGGGTTCATTTCGTTTTGATTTTTTGAATTATTAGACAATTAATTTCCTAACTTCAGATTTTTTGGTAGTATTCTGTTTTAGATAATGTTTTTGTAAAAATGATGGGACAATTTGTGTTTTGTATAGACTCTTAGTTATTTTTTTATCATGGAGTTTAATTGTTGTACACCGGGTTTCTGAAGGATTGATTATTGATTATTAATTGCTATAGTCTGTCCAACGACAAGCGATAGATGTGTCTGTCATTTTATTTTCAAATTAGTTTATTTTATTTTACAAAGAATTAAGTTGGTACAATTGGAACGCATAGCAGAAAATTAATATGAATATTTATAATTTAAGTGACAAGTGATTACTTCAAAATATTGTGAAAAAGACTATAAAATTAAGAAAATCTAATTGAGTTATTTTATTCAAAAAACAATAATTACAGTATGTGTTAATACAAAACAAGCAAGGGTTTATTTAAAAAAAACACCACATACCAAAAAAGATATAAAAAAGATTTTCGGCTTTCAAGCTCAAGCAATTTCCTGCATTTATTGTTATATTTATCAATATTATTCAATATAATTATTATTTACCTATCGTGTGCTTCTGTTTTACAGACACTCCAGTTTTTGGTATAATATACAAGATAGTATACAAACTTTATTTGTGGCTGATACATCTCTCTGGCCATAATCTCTGGCAAACTGTCTCTGGGCACCGGATATTAACTGTAAACTATGGTCTGGGTCAACACTTAATTTTCCCGCGAGTTTTCCTCCAGTTAATTTTAAAAAGAACGAAACACACGTAATAACACAGTCCAAAATGCAAAATGCAAAATATTTATCATTTCTATTTGACATAATTTGACACAAAATTATAACCTATAAATTTGCAAGAGTTTGACAACTCTCAAAAATCTTAAGACGAGTTCACACGCATCGGCGTTCGTTTGTCGTTCATCTTTCCGTAAATAAAAAACCAATAATATTGAAATATGATATGTCATTTATGAAATAAACTAATAAAACTGGTTAAAAACAACAAGAGATGACGCATGACGGATTTATATATAAACCCATCCATAGTTAACTTAAAAAATATTAGAAACTTTTTTTAGTTAAATAAATGGATTGGTATGGACGTCATCTGTTTTTTTTTCTGTCATCGTCTGTCGAAATCTTACCTGAGAAAAAAAAACAGAGTATAGCAGATATTTAATTTTTTTACGGTACATGTAATGAATTACGGAAGCGCGTTGCGTTATATTGGCATGGTCAGCAAATGACTAAAACTGATATAATTTGTTTTTATTATTTCAGGTCTCAAACTGGGAATCTTGCCTACACCAAAATTATATAGCTGTTTCCTATTAACTTCAAAGGAAAGAAAATTATGAAAAACTCGCTGCTATTAGCGGAAAATCGCCAAAGATTTAATTATAACTGTAACGATTTAATATACACTATTTTACTAGTCTTTTTTTCTCTCGCAATATTTTTTTTTAATTAATATTTGACATATAAGAATACTCTGTATGCTTTTAATTAGGTTGATTTATCGTTTATAATATGTTCAAAGGAAAAATATAGCCAAAATAATTTTCAAAATATTGGTTCCAAAATATTTTAACATCTTGTGGTATTATTAGTAAAAATATTATTATTTTATTCCCACTATGAAATAAAATTAAAAATCCTACTGACCTGTTCTTTTTCTTCATCATCTTCGTATCCATAATCATCATGTTCATAACCATAATCACTAGAGGGAGGTGAATATTCTTTAACTGGTACTTTTTCAACTTCGTAGTGTTCAGGATCGGAAATAAAGGAATTAACTATTTTTTTGTGGATAATTTCTGGATCGTGTTCGTATTTCACATCAGCATTGTATCTAAAAAATGACACATTTACAATTTGTTGTGAAAAATGCTTTGAATAAAAAGATTTTAGAATGAGGTTAATATCAGTTATACAGGGTGTTCCAATATTCCGTAGGCATAGAACTACTACATATTTTTGGATTGGAATCCAAATAAGTTCCTTGGACACAATTTACCTCTATACAAAAGTGCTTTGTTTGTCTGTTAGACTAGAGGGCATCAAACTTTAAAAAAATAAACACATTTTTTTCAGATATTTTAAGAACCGTTATCCCGATAAAATTCGTATGTTCTTTCACTGGTTATACGTGTATTTGATTTAACATTTTTATTAAATTAATTAAAAATATGGGAGAGAGAGAGAGAGAGCAAGCATTTATAAGATGTTAATATTAATAAATAAAAAGTCTTAATATACAAAAAATGTTGAAGCAGACACCCTTATTCCAAAAGTGTATATTGAAAGAATAACAAGCAAATAACTTCTCAAAGGTTTTTGAAGATAAAGTGACTGAAAAAGCGAGATAAACATTTTTTCTTTAAATTTATCCAGTAAGTACATCCACACAGTTCGTCGACAAAGAAACCGCCGTTATCACATTGACAAAAGCAAAAGAAAATTGCGTTAAAACTGTATTTATTCGAGAAAACAGCTCGTTAGAGGGAAAGTGATGAAAAAACGAGCATCTTTCTTTGACAGACATAATTTTACGGTGTGTATTAATGCGACATAGCTGAAAGAAAAAAAACGGAGGGTAAATTTTATTTACTTTTTGTACCGTTTGTGATGTTTTCCATTACCGTAATATGAAAAGCAATATTAACTAATAATTGAAATATATTTTCCGTATTTAATCAGCAGGTTTTTTCAGTGATACTTATGCCCACTTGCACCGTTTGTATAAACTTTGTTTAAAGGCTAAACAGTGATTAACTATATAATATTTTATTATAGTTAATCACTGTTTAGCGTTTAAACAAAGTTTATACAAACGGTGCAAGTGGGCATTAATGTAGTTTAAAAATATGTAGACAATTAATTTCTAGATTCTGATTCGATTATACTATTTTTGCTACTAAAAAACTTTCAGATTTAAATTTTGTATTTCGTAACAACTCAATATTGTAAATAAACACCAAAATAAATGATATAATTGGAATGGTAAATTGTAATTTTATCGTCGCATCAATTCTGAAAGAAAAAAAGGATCTCATAAAAATATTTTAAAAACTATTTCTATAGTTTTCTTTAATAAAATTAGTGGATATTCTCTCGATCTCAAAAACCGATGCTCTAAAATAAAAAGCTTAAAAAACTACACATTTTGTACCGCAAGTTCACACGCAGTTTTGCAGCGCAGACGTGTCGGATGACATACATTTTGTCGATCCGTTCTATAGCTACAGGGCATCTGTAAGGGGGGAAAAGAAATTCTCTGCTGGCGTGCAATTCATGGACGTGTCATAAATATTTTAGATAACATTACTTACTTATACAAAAATGTCAAAAATACAAAATCAATTTTGTATCTTCAACGTTTTTTCCAAGTAAATGAGACAAAACAAAACTGAAGCTACTTAAGGAAAAAACTAAAGGTTATGAAAAATTGCTGGAATTTTATTAAATTGTTGATACAAATGCCATAATTGTATTTGTATAGAAAAAATAAATAATTTGCGAAATGTTTTCTGAAAGAAACTTAAAAATGTGAAATGAAAATGAAAGCGCTCCTGTAGAGCATCTGATAGGTAACTTCACTTCCCCTAGGAGATGCAAGACCTTGTCGTTGGTGGGGAAGCTCCTTGTCCGGTGCTGGAGGTATCTACTCTAGCACTTTAGCTCGGTCTAAGAAGCATCTCATTGTCTTGTCCCTGGCTGTAGTGTCGTGGCCAGGGAATTGCACCAAGACATATAACGATGCCGGACGGGGCTACGCCTGTCCATCATACCAGGCACCCTCTACTTACTGTGCTCATGTCTCGCGGGTAGAGGGTGTAAAGGGTCTTGGGTTAACCGCCTGGACCAAAAGGAGACAACCTCACCAAAGACCTAAATCCTACGATGGCGGGACCAGGTCAAAGGGATACGTGGCTAGATAGAGGACTAGCCATTACTGGCCTCAACCTTGGGGCATCAGGGGGCACCACATTGTGAATTTCTTTTCACCTCTTACTTCTGCATGCGGGACTTTGTAGAAATAGACCAACTATCCTAGCGATTCGTGGGAATACTATGAGATCTAGTATTAAAAACACCACCGGTAAAGCTGTGGAGAAGACCCCTAGCGACACTGGGAATATTACAAATGAAAGTTCCAAGGGACCAAATCCAAAGGAAACTACAGGAGGGGCGGCTGACACTTGCTTGGGATCATCCTCCACAAGTGGCACACGAGCTATCACCTTCTCCAGCAAGGGTCGGGAGCCTACATTTAGACCCAATAAGCAACATAAGCTACAGTTTCAAAAAAAAATCAGCTTAATGTTAATAAATCTTATAGTCATCAAATTGCGTTGTGATTTGTCAATCAACTTTTTGATTAGGTAAGTTTCTCATATTTATTATCACTGAACTTATTGGGATAACTAAATGCCATGATAACTTTGTCCAACAAAATAGATTTTCCAATTGCTCAGCCGGATAAATCAAAATAGTCGATTTAATGACTACAAATGAAAGAGAGAAACCGTTTTCAAAAATTGTCGCTAAGAAAAAAAGGGATAGATTCTATTAATTCTTAATTAGTCATTAAGCAACACAGAAAACTAAAACAGTATTTGAATAATTTCACTCAAACGTTCATAGGTAGCCCACACCCTTCAAATGTTAAGTAAATCATATTGTATATTTTCATCATGAGATATTACACACAAATTCAATTAAAAAAAATATATATTTTTTTTATTTAAATTGATGGACTGATAATACGTTTAACCTCAATTCTGCCTTAAATATTTTAAGAAACTCAGAAAAAGAACGTTTTTATTTCTTTGTAAACTGATTTTGACGAGTTCAAACATTTCTTAAAAACGAAAAGTTCGGAAAACACATTTTACCCATTTTTATCGGCTTTGTAGGAAACGATTTGGATCCGTCCATCTGGAAGTTTGACTCTGTACTCTCCGTTCGTGGCTTTGGCGTTTCGCACTTGCTGATGGGAGAAATCATCTCCCGTTTTCTTGTCTTTCACTTTATAGGCGAAGGCGTAATTCTTCTTATTCTGTAAAATAATAAAACGCGTATAATATTTAATAACAATTTTAAATTATTTTAAAAGTCTATACATGTATTTTATTATGTGTTTATTACTTAAAAATAAATAATAATATATTATTTAATGTTAAAAAAGTTTTAAACACTTATACACAAGTATAATAAGTAATTATGCTATTTAATTATTTATTAAACGTAATTCATTATAATCGCTCAAATAAAAAAGGATATTGCGTCAGTATGCATTTTTTATGGTATTAAGTAATTTTTTTCTCAAGCCTGCTACACATACGTAACCGTAGATGGAGCTGAAAGCAAAGTAGGGTTCTATTATAAATAGACATAATATAGAGAAGCGTAAAAAATGCCTTAACCCCTAGAAATGTGCTAATTTCTGCATTAGTACATCAGACCGATAGAAACAGCCAACTGATTACCGGTTTCGAGGAATTACCCATCATCAGGCCGACTTTGCTAGATCCTTCGATCTGACAAACAAGGCACACGGAGATGAAGCAGGCTAGATTTTACAATAGGCCGCTGGTCCCGAATTCTGTAACTTAGAAAACGCAACGCGCTGTTAGACGCTCAGCGTATATGACGTTAATTTTCGCTTGGCGCGCACTTAACTACCGATTTGGGTATTCTCATCTGACGCGCTTAGCGTCTTTACTGATTGCGCTAAGCGATTCGAAAACGGCAACCTTAAAGCAGTGGCGGCTCGTGACCCTTGTGACTGGGTAGGCGACAAAATTTTAGTTGCGCCTATTTGCCCCCCCCCTAATTTACATAATACCCTAACCCAGTTTGTAAATATATGTTATCTCTGGGTTAAAAACATAGCTCAAGAATATTTAGGACAAAACTAAAACAAAAATAACAGCCTTCAACGTAATGACATAATGATTGACATAATGTACAAGTATATATTTTTTTATCTATTACTATGGAGTCACTATGGCGTACATCATAGAATTTTATTTTATTTTTATTTATGTACGCAAACTTAAAAATTGGTAGTATTGAGAGAAAGAATAATTATGTTTTATATATTAAATTGATGAGTCGCTTAGTTATGGTCTCTTAATAAAGAAAAGTTATTTATTATTATATCAGTAAAATCATAAGATTGCAGAAGAGTTGTGAAAAGATCTTTTTAGATTAAAAGTAAGGCAAGTGACGATAAACGTTTATGTTTCATGGAATCTCTACTATAAATTTTAATGCATTTCAAACATGAAAAATGTCTCTCAACCCAACTACTTGTAAATGGTATAGTAACAAACAAAACAATCAATTTGGTAGCCTCTGGAAATATATTTCCAGGATAATTCTCCATAAATTATTTTATAATCGAAATTATCATATCTATTATTAATACCTGCAATTTATTCATTAATTTAAGTTGGTTAATATAATTTTTTGTTTGTTAAATCACTATTAAATGCGTTGGAAATGTATCAATATAACAAGTTTATTAAATCAGATGTTAAATGCGTTGGAACATTTTTATAGGATTCTTTAAATTTCGGATCCGAAAGAGATAAATAAAAATAATTGCGATATACGAGTACCTATCTGCAAACCTTATTTCTAAATGTATAACGGTGTTATCTAATATTTCATAAAACAAAATTCGCAAAATTATTTGACTTAGCCGCTTTTATTAACATATCAAATTGAAATAGCACACTGAGACTTTTCTGTAATATCTGTTGTATATTCTTCTTGTACCGAATAAAATAACGCGCCTTTTTATTTCGGATTCTTTTATTTCTGTGGCGTGTTCTGAAATACAACCGGTTATATCATTTTGAATAATCTCGGACAAGCCCAAAAAATGTTTCCAATTTGCTTTAAACGTTTTTTGAATTTTCATATAAAAGTTTTAAATGCTACGTATAATGAATCATATGAAATATCCCCTTAGCGAAATGTGATAAATCCTCTTATGAAATATCTGGAATAACCCCTTAACTTCTAAGCCTACCGAGCCTCCACGACTTCATGCGAAGGCGACCGGAGATTTCGCCTAAGCAACGCCTTAATACAACTCCGACTTACGTCGCGTCGCTACCGCACGAGTTATACAAAGAGACAGAAGACTACCGTACGTCGTGCATCGACTCTGATACTAGGCAATGCAGAAGTCGCCGAACAAAGGCACTCCAACGGTCAAAATTATTTAGTGATATTTTATACCAGCGATAGTGAATATTTTAATATACAAGACAAATATTAAAATATTATTGATTATTAAAACACACTTCCGTGTATTAACATATTAACAGTATTTTTATGTATTGGCAACATTAATAGTAAATAATGTAATGTAATAAACCGCTTAAATTCTGTCTAAATTTTAGGGTAGGCGCCGCCTACCTTGCGTACCCTGAGGAGCCGCCACTGTCTTAAAGGTCGTTTTGCTTGTCGAACTGTCAGTGAAAATAGAAAAAAATTGTGATTCTGTGCGTTCTCTAGCTCTTTAGTGAAAAATACTTCTGCTTCTATAAATTCCTGAATAAATAATTGATAATTTATTACTTGGCAGCTATAGATATTGAGTCAAAAATTTGACTGTTAGATACCTGAGAAATTGCGTTGCTGCCAGTATGTGCTCAGCGCGTATCCAGAAAACGATTCGCATGGTAACGAGAATACCAAAATCGACTGCTTGGCGTTCCGCTAATCGAATACTATCGCTTACTGCTTTGAGAGCGTAACGTTTTTATGCCGAAGTTCCAGAATTCGGGCCCTCGTTTTATTTGGTTGTACGATTCGTATGATATGTGTGACTACCACTAGTTAGCGAGAGTATCTAGTTCTCGGCAATAGTAGTAGTACACTCAAGTGCGATTTTTGCGTTTTGTTTTTCAGATCGTAGACTACAGCAAAGTCGGCCCGATCATGAGGTCCCCGAAATCGGTCAACGGATGGCTGTTTCCTTCGGTCAGATAAACTTAATGCAGACATTAGCACACTTGTAGGGGTTAAGACGTTTTTACTTTTCTATATAATAATAACAAAAGCGCTGATATAAAATATAACTTCTACAGAAAAACTACTATAAAATAAACAGAATAGTATATAATATCAAATATCTTGGACCATGTATTATGTATATAACGCAGAAACAATATACAGACAAATAGAAAAATATCAAAGGTTTATATTAGTTATTATTATTTATGGTTGTAAATTCCACAAATCATGCAATTTATTCGTTTCATCGCACATAATTATTGTCTTACTTTCCAAAAACGATAGTGTTTAGATTTTTAACAAGAAATACACATAAGATGAAACTTATATGGGAAAGAGCCGACCAACAGACTAGAAGAGAAAGCGCAAAAAGTAGGCTTAGTGTTTAATGAGAAGAAAACTAATTTTATGGACAGGTCAGATATGGATTTTGAGAAGGGAAGATAGTGAGAGTTAACGATTCAAGTTTGAGGAAGAAGATATATTCACATATCTAGGAACTGTATTTCTAAGAGAACCAAATGTAACTCAGGAAATTGTGGCAAGAATAATCGCAGGAAATAGCTGTGTTACCGCACTACAGAAAATAATTAACAAGTAAGAACATCTCTAGGAGTCTAAAAATCAGAATGTACCAAACAATGATACGACCAATAGTGCTGTATGCATGTGAAATGTGGACGTTCAATGCAATGGAAAGTTCGTGGCTAGAGATTTGGTAAAGAAAAATACTGAGGATAATTTTTGGAGGAAAGAAGGTGGACAACATATGGGACCAAAAGAATAAATGAAGAATTAAAGCAACTATATGGGGCACCGAGTATAACGGGAGTAGCAAGAGCTCAAAGATTAAGATGTGTGTGTGTGTGTGTGGTTGGGACAGATTGAAAAAATGACTGAAGCAAGAGTTCCTAATATGATAATGAAACGTGAAATAGGTGGAAATAGAAGGAGGGGCAGACCCAGAACCGGATGGAAAAAGGATGTTGAAGAGGACTTGAGAAGTACAAGTGGATGGATGGAGAATAAAGACGAAAAACAGAAACAAGTGGAGAAATATAACCAATCAAGCCAAGGTATCTATGGGTATATAATAGCTCTAAACGCCTAAAAGGGTCATTTAGGCTTATAGAGCTATTATATACCCATAGATACCTCGTTACGATTTAAATTACATGTTACTAAACTTGTTCAAAAATCGTTTATAATATAAGATTGCTACTTTCTAACAGCTACATACTAAACATGGCTCTGGAAAAGAATTTAAAAAGTACAAAATGCCTGCTGTCGTTTAATCTTTAGACTAAGGAAACATGATGACACTTAAAAGTTTAAAGAACTTCATTAACTTAAATGCTTTTAAAAGTCTCACCATTTACTCTAGACCGTCCTAGATTACAATCTAAAAATCAACATAAATGAAGTTGCAGTATAGTGTTTAGAAATAGGTTTATTTCTTCACTATCATTCACTATATAATAGGAAATAGAAGGACGGGTAGACCGAGAACCAGATGGAAAAAGGACGTCGAAGAGGACTTGAGAAGTACAAAAGTGCATGGATGGAAAATAAAGGCGGAAAACAGAAACAAATGGAGAAAGATAACCAATCAAGCCAAGGTATCTATGGGTATATAATAGCTCTAAAAGCCTAAAAGGCTCATTTAGACCCATAGATACCTCTTTACGATTTAAATTACATGTTACTAAACTTGTTAAAAAATCGTTTATAATATAAGATTGCTAGTTTCTAAGAGCTACATACTAAATATGAATCTAGAAAAGAATTGAAAAAGAACAAAATACCTGCTGTTATTTAATTTTTAGAGTAAGGAAACGTGACGACACTTAAAAGGTTAAAGAACTTCATTAGCTTAAATGCTTTTAAAAGTCTCACCATTTACACTAGACCGTCTAAGCCATCCTAGATGACAATCTAAAAATCAACATAAATGAAGTTGTAGTATAGTGTTTAAAAATAGCTTTATTTCTTCACTAATTTTAATATTAATTATCAAGATTATAT